CTAGACTTCGAAAATTTAAAGAGTGTGTGGAATGGGAGGGTATAAAGTCAAAAAAGTCATTATGTCTTGATGTCAAAACGAGGTGGAATTCGACTTATATGATGCTAAGTACGGCGGAAAAATTTGAGAAAGCATTTGCTAAGTATGAAAGAGATGAAACTTCTTTTGTGAAGGATTTGGGAGATGATTTAGTTCCTAGATCTTATGATTGGTCTTGTGCTCGCAAAATTTCCGAATTGTTGAAGTACTTTTATGATGCTACCTTACGGATTTCGGGCTCTTTGTATGTCACTTCGAATACTTTTTTTAGTGAGATTAGCGATTTGTGTTGCATTTTGGATGATTGGAGAAAGAGCGATGACCTTTTGAAAAAGGACTTGGGTGACTTAATGAAAACAAAATTTCTTAAATATTGGGGAGAGCCGGGATGTATGAATAAAATTATCTTTTGGGCAAGCGTTTTTGATCCGAGGGAAAAATTTGAGTACATGGCTTACACTTTGAATGAGATGTATGGGGTTGAAGAGGGGGAGAAAATTCTTGAGGAAGTGAAGGATGATCTCTTTGAATTATTCAAAGAGTATAAAAAGAAGTATGATCCGGAAAATGATGCAAGTGCTAGCATTGGAGTTCAAACAACTTCAACTTCAAGTTCCGAACATGGAAGTATTAGTACCAAGCCCGAATCAAGGTTAAAAGCTAAGTTCAAGAAGCAAAAGTTAGCGACCGGGGGCTTTGCAAACAAAAAATCCGAACTTGAACTTTACTTGAATGAGGATGTGCTCGAGGGAGAAGAAGATCTTGATGTCCTAAAGTGGTGGAAATCAAATTCCGAGCGTTTTCGGGTTCTTTCGAGGATGGTTCGGGATATGTTGGGTGTTCCAATATCAACCGTTGCATCGGAGTCGGCCTTTAGCACCGGTGGGCGGATGCTCGACAAATTTAGGAGTTCTTTAACTCCTAAAATTGTTGAAGCATTGATATGTACACAAGATTGGCTCCGAAATGAATGCGTCCCTTTATGTGTTGAAGAGTCATTGGATGAACTAGAAATGCTTGAAAAAGGTAATGTTGATGTTCAAATACTTTGTATTTTTTTCTAATAGAAATCTTATTTTTAATTTGTCTCATTTTTAGATTTGCCGCAAGTGGGGATTGGACAAACATAGTGAAGTACGACTTGTGAAATTTGAGGTAACCACTATTAAATTTCAATCTTTTTAATTGTTCTAAAAATTGGTTTGTATAAAATATTTTCACTTGTTTTTGGTGCTTTTTTTTAGATATTTTTTGCTGTTGTTAGGCTCGTTTCAGGGCTATTTCAAGGTTGTTTTGAAGGTTTATAGCTGCTGTTTTTGTGACAAAAGTTCGGGGCTGTTCGGGTGCTTTTCGGGGCTGTTATGAAGGCCTTTTGAATGCTGTTTCTGGACCTTTTATTGCTATTTTATTGCTGTTCTTCTGGGACTTTATTGCTCTTTTTTTTGAACTTTTATTGCTCTTTTTTCTGGGGACTTTGTTGCTATTTTTCTGGGACTTTATTGCTGTTTTTTTGAACTTTTATTGCTTTTTCTTCTGGGGACTTTGTTGCTGTTTTTCTATACTTTTATTGTTGTTTTTCTAGGGACTTATATTGTTTTAGTTTATGGACCTCTATTGTTGTTTTATTGCTGGTTTATTGGTGTTTTTGTGGATGTATTTTTATGTTGCATTTTTTTTTTGTTTAGCCCAATGAAAAGGCCCATATATTTGGGCCTGGTAAACAATTCTAAAAAAATGTTTTTTTTTTTGGTAAAAAACTCGGTTAACCGACCGAACCGACCGAACAATTCGGTTCGGTCAAACTTCGGTTTTAGGATCTTAATCGGTCGGTTCGGTTTTTCAAATTTAACAATTCGGTTAATTCGGTTTTCATAGTTCGGTTCGGTCGGTCGACCGAACCGACCGATGAACACCCCTAAGCTCGACCAGTCTGATCGAGCATCGGGCTACTCGATCGCCTGTGCAGTCAACCCTTGGATTGTTCGATCGCTTGTGTGGTCGAGCCTTGGGCTGCTCGATCACGTGGATTCCCGCCTTTCGGCTTGGTTTGCTCCTGGTCCGCTCTTCTCAACCGGCTCACCAAATCGGTTCGTCTTTATACAGATAATATCCTATATCAACGTTGATGTGTCTCGAGTCACTAATTCACAGGATTTAAGATATTAATATGTGGGGGGACGATAATGGGGAAAAGAAAACTACTAAAAATGTTGTCTATCAAGAAGTTTTTCATAATTTGTAATACCATATAATATTGTACTTTTACTATCTATTCAACAATAATGTTATTTATTTGTCATTTACTTTTTATGATATATATATATATATATTTTAATGTATTTATTAAAATATTTTAATAAATATGTTCCGTGCATCGCACGGGTGAAGATACTAGTTATGTATATAAACATGAGAAATGTTAAGGTCCTGCTACAGAACCATTCCGTCGGAGTTTGTAACCGTTAGATCAACATGTAAAAGTCAGAGATAATTGATCTAACGATTAAAAACCTCGACGAAATTGTTTCATAACGAGACTGTAGCATCTTCCTATATAAACATACTTTAACCCCGATTGGAGGATTTTGTCTATTACATGAGTCTATTGTAACTTGGAATGTGTGTTAGTGCATGCTTGGATACAAATATATACTTTCAGAACATTTTTTTTTTTTTTTTGGCAAGGGTTAATTTTGAAAAAAATCAGTATGAATATAGTTAATTGTTAATAAAATTTTGAGTTTATATTATTGTAGTATTTAAAATAAAATAATTAAAATTAACTTTATGTAAAAGTAGAAGAGAGATGATGTAAATTGATGATTAGTTAAAATTATTTGAATGAATAAATAGTGAATTAAAATTAATTTGAATTATTTATAAACAACACACAACTTTACGTATATTCATGTGCGGATACAAAACATCAGATGAAAGCTTCACATTGTTCACAATAGTTCTAATGATACACATAAAGTTCACTCCCAGATATTGGAACCTGTGAACCAGAAAACAAGAAACTGTATTTGAGGGTACATAGGTTTGTGTATAGGAAAAGGAAGTCAGTGTGATCATGAATTTTTCTTAAGGTAATACTACAATTTACAGTTCTGCATAATTAAAGGCAGGTATGAAAGAACACAAAGTTCCTCATCTTATTCTAAAATGATGAAATCGAAACCTGCATTAAATAGTGGCCTGATGAAAATCTGGAAAACATATTCACGAATGTTGGCCAAAAATGGAATGACCAAAAAAAAGAAGGAATTCTAACATAAGCACGAGTAACGGACAAAAACAGTATAGGGCAACTGGAAACAAATTTTTTGCTCACAGAACTATAATATCTCATTTCACAAGTACAAGAGCTAATCAGATCACATCTTCACATTTCTCTCGTATTAATCAATCAGCACAAGACGTGTCTTTCATTCTTTTGCCGCACAACAGTTAGCATAACAAGTGACATGTTAACTATGGGAATATACTATAAAACTTCATTGACTAAACAATAAAACTGAATTATCCAACTCACCAAGCCAAATGTGACACGTTGAGCACCAAATTCTGCCCTCTTTTGCCCTCGGAACACTCAAACTGTTGGAATATCAGGTCAGGTCAACACTAATGCCCTCAACTACAGTTTATGCACTCCACCTGAATCACCAAATCCTTAATCCCAGAATCACGCAAAATGTCCGATACTTGCTTTCTAACAGAGGCTTTATCAGCATCTCCCGAGACGTGAAGATGTACAGTCCCAACAATATCCGTGTTGGTGAAACTCCAGACGTGCAGATTCTGAATACCCAATATACCCTTCAGACCCATCACATCATTCAGAGCTTCCTTAAGATCATGCTCCGAAGATCTAGGCACTCTCTGCAGGAGAATCTCCGCCGAGTTTCTGAGCAATGGAATCACAGACGAGACGATTAGTGCTGATATAAAGATCGACGAGGCCGGGTCTGCAACTAACCAACCCTTGTACTTGATCAAAAGGGTAGAGATGACAACTCCAACACTACCCATTGTATCAGCCAGCACATGCAAGAATATGCCTTGCATGTTATGGTCAATGTGATGATGATGATCATGCTTCTTGTTTTCCTTATGGTGATGATGATGATGACCATGAACATTACATGTGTGGGACTTATGATCGATGGCCCGATGATCACTCGAACATGATTTGCCATTGTTATCATGGATAACAGTTATGTGATCCTCCTCGTGTTTGTTTCCATGTTTGTCATCATGTTCATGTTGATGATGATGGTGATTGGAGTGGGAATGTGAATGTGAATGTGAATGTAAATGTGAATGTGAATTTGAATGTGAATGTGAATTTGAATGTGAGCATGTTCCCGAACCACCATGAGCATGATGATGCTCCTCATGAAAAAAAATCAGCCCTACAATGTTCACAACAAGGCCCCCGATCGAGACAGCTAGAAGACTGCTAGTAGAAATCTCTTGAGGGTCTAAAATCCGCTCGATCGACTCGAGCGTAATCAATGCCCCAACAAGAACTAGGAAAACGGCATTCACATAACCCGATAATACCTCAAACCTCCCACGACCATAGTTGAACTGGCTATTTGCTGGCAAGCGTGAGATATATGATGCATACAGACCAATTGCTAAAGCAGCACAGTCGAACAACATGTGGCAAGCATCCGATATCAAACCAAGACTGTTACTCATGAAACCAGCTACAAATTCAACAACCATGTAAGCGGTATTGATCAATAAAAACAGAGCGATTTTTCTTGATTTCCTCTCGCCCAAAATGTGCTTAAGAGGTTTCATGAGTCCCGTGCTAAATGATTCGCGCGATTCAAAACCCAGTTCAGGATAATTAGTACCAACTGGGCTCAATTCCCTCACCGAAATCCAAAGCAACACCCCACATATAAGTAATCCCCACAGGCAAAGCTCTGGATAATAAAACAACTCCAAAACAAGTGTACAAACAAACGTAATGAAATACTCCTTGTGAATATCTTTAGAAGAAGATACTTTCTCGTCAGTGTAATTCTCACTCAAAAGCACACCAAAGACCACAGTGTTTGCCAATGGCCAGCCAAGACTCGACACGGATATGCTATCACCATCGGCTTCAAACACGAGCATGCTAACAGCAGCCGGTATAAATAACACAACAGTGGTGTAAAACAAAGTAATCAGTCGAACCCTTTTTTGCCCTAGCTCTCGAACATCTCCCCAATTCGAAAATACCCGCTCGTAACAACCCAAAAACCCTGACAAGAAAGGGAGCAACATTGGCAAAATTCTCAAACAATTCCCACTAGGAAACACTGAAAGGCCTTTTGCCGTGATATTCACATGGGAGAAAGGAAAACACTCGACCCGATCCCAGCTGATAGACAACAAGACCAAGCCAGAAAAGAGAGCAATAAACCCACGCACCTTGGACGATCCGGTAAAATTCCGATCAGTAAAGCTCCGATTCATACTTTCAAACATGAAACGCGCCGCCACAGTTCCAGACAATTCAGCTAGGATCATAGCAGCAGTTCCACAATACATCAACGCCTGGAATCTGAGTAAGAAAACAACGGCGAGGAGGAGTGATTTGGCGAGGAGCAGCTTGTGCTGGGATTTTGTGATCGATGTGAGAGAAAGAATCGGCCGGTGAGATTTCCGGCGGAAGGAATCTCCGCGTGTAATCGATGCGAAGAGGGAGAAGCAAAGGGTGAGAATGAAGGAGAGTAGGGAAACGAGGAAGGAAAAGGGGAAGATAGAGAAGGAAGGAGGCGAAGAGCGGAGGAAAGGGAGAAGGGAGTACAATGAACGGAGAGAGAAAAGCAGGAGGAGGAGGAAGGAGAATGAGGAGGCGCCGCCGGCGGCCGCGCCGGAGGGTTTATAGATGGAGAACCGGTGCTTGGACGGGGTGGAGGTCGGGGTCAGAGGGGCATAAGTGAATACGGGGTATGAGGGGCGTGGGATCGAGGCGACGGCGGCGGCGGTCCGCGGCGGAATTGAGATGCGATTGGAGCGGTGGTGGTGATCGGCCATGATCGCTAGTCGCCGCCGATAGTATTTGGATTGGAGAGGTCCAATGGAGACGAGGACAGTGGACTCTCGTAGAATCTAATCGGTCTAAAGCCACCTTGTTTGAAAGTTGAAAACTCAACTGGACTACCCAATGGGCCTGTAATTGGAAACTGCCCACTAAGAACTGGACTATGATTGCTAATTGGGCCTTGGAATTAAATAAATTGAACCTTCAAATTAGAAAAAGGCCTAAAGAAAATATTTGTCGACAATTTTTTATTTTTCATTTTTTTTTTCAAATGGCAAGGGAGGGGAGGTCTCGTGTTGGCTCGTTATAATAAACGAGCTGAATTATATTAAAAGTTCAAAAAATTACGTAAAATTCTATTTACCAAGTCTAACGAGCTTTAAATGAGTTCAATCTAAACTCGGTTACCAAAACAAACAAAATCAAGCTCAAAACCTTAATAAGTCGAGTTGGGCCAACCGCACAAGTACACAACTCGTTTCGTTCAAAAGCTTTAGTGGTCTAAACTATCCATAACCAATCAATCGAGCCACAATCAATTTCTTTAATTCAGTGGTTAAAATAAAAAAACAACTAGACATGATGTGCTAACAATTTTTACTATGCACGTAATTATTTTATACAAGTTCTCACTCTTACAACAGATGTCAATTGCATAAATGTCAAAATTGAAACGTATAATTCCTACGGAGTGCGCTTATCGATGGTATGAACTAAAAAATGCGGAAGCAATAAACCGAAGATTTTAAAACTCTTCAGGGAAGCGTCCCACTTCCCCTCAGAGCTCTTTCATTGATAGATCAAACATACACATAGCTTGGACTTACAACAACTCGAACTCCCTTCAAGCCTAGCCAACACTACACAGATCCTATCAACTAATTCTCCGGCCACGTCCCGTGGACTTTTAAAAACCTACACTTACTCCCTAAGTGTATAAGCGGTAAAATAGTTTTTGGATGGAACACAAAGAACAAAATAAAACAGCTTCAGTCCTTGAGCTAGTTCGAACTCTCAGA